GGGTAAGCCTGGCTCTGGATGCACAACGTTCCTCAAGACCATTGCCAACTGGCGCGCCGGCTACACCAGCGTCACTGGCGATGTGCTATACGGAAAGTTCACAGCCGAGGAGTTCAAGCAGTACCGAGGTGAGGCCGTCTACAACCAGGAGGACGATATTCACCACTCGACCCTCACCGTAGAGCAGACGCTTGGTTTCGCTCTCGACACAAAGGTCCCCGCCAAGCGCCCCGCCGGCATGTCCAAGAACGACTTCAAGGAGCAGGTCATCTCCACCCTCCTCAAGATGTTCAACATTGAGCACACCCGCCACACTGTCGTCGGTGACGCTTTCGTGCGCGGTGTGTCCGGAGGAGAGAGAAAGCGTGTGTCGATCGCAGAAATGATGATCACCAACGCCTGTGTTCTCTCCTGGGATAACAGCACCCGTGGTCTGGATGCCAGTACGGCGCTCGACTTTGTCAAATCCCTTCGTGTCCAGACGAATTTGTACCAGACCACAACGTTTGTGTCTCTGTACCAGGCCTCCGAGAATATCTACAACCTCTTCGACAAGGTCTTGGTTATCGACGCCGGAAAGCAAGTCTACCTGGGCCCCGCCACCGAGGCTCGCGCCTACTTTGAGGGCCTCGGCTTTGCGCCCCGCCCCAGGCAGACCACACCCGACTACGTTACCGGATGCACCGACGACTTCGAGCGCGAGTACGCCCCCGGCCGTTCAGCCGAGAACGCGCCCCACAGCCCCGAGACCCTCGCCGAGGCCTTCAAGACGTCCAAGTTCCAGAAGCAGATCGACAGCGAGATGGAGGAGTATAAGGCGAGACTGGCCCAGGAGACGGAGAAGCACACCGACTTCCAAGTCGCCGTTAAGGAGGCCAAGCGCGGCTCCTCCAAGCGCTCCGTCTACGCCGTCGGCTTTCACCTGCAAGTCTACGCGCTCATGAAGCGCCAGTTCGTCCTGAAGCTGCAGGACCGTTTGTCTCTGTTCCTCTCCTGGTTCCGCTCCATCGTTATCGCCATCGTCCTCGGTACCCTCTTCTTCCGTCTCGGCTCGACTTCCGCCAGCGCCTTCAGTAAGGGTGGTCTTATGTTCATCTCGCTCTTGTTCAACGCCTTTGAAGCCTTCTCCGAGCTGGCGGGTATCATGACTGGACGTGCGATTGTGAACAAGCACAAGGCCTACGCTTTCCACCGTCCATCAGCATTGTGGATCGCCCAAATCATTGTCGATCAGGCCTTTGCAGCAAGTCGAATCATGGTCTTTTCAATCATTGTCTACTTCATGTCTGGGCTTGTCCGCGAGGCCGGAGCGTTCTTCACCTTCTACCTCATGATTCTCTCTGGAAACATCGCCATGACGCTCTTCTTCCGATGCATCGGTTCCATCAGCCCCGACTTTGATTACGCCATCAAGTTCGCCGTCGTCATCATCACCTTCTTCGTCACCACTTCTGGCTACCTCATTCAGTATCAGTCTGAGAAGGTCTGGATTCGTTGGATCTACTGGATCAACGCGTTAGGTCTCGCCTTCAGTGCCATGATGGAGAACGAGTTCAGCCGTCTGAAACTCACGTGTTCAAGCGAGTCACTCATTCCCTCGGGCCCCGGCTATGGCGACATCAACCATCAGGTATGCACGCTTGCTGGCTCCACCGCAGGAACCACGCTCGTGGACGGCTCAGCGTACATTGCTGCTGGATACAACTACATCAAGGGCGATTTGTGGCGCAACTGGGGTATCATCCTGGCTCTCATCGTCTTCTTCCTCCTCATGAACGTCACTCTTGGTGAACTCATCAACTTCGGAAATGATGGCAGCTCGGCCAAGGTCTACCAGAAGCCCAACGCGGAGCGTAAGAAGCTAAACGAGGCACTCTTGGAAAAGAAGGCAGCCAAGCGCCGTGGCGACAAGCAGGAAGGTTCTGACTTGACCATCAACTCGGAGGCTGTCTTGACCTGGGAGGACCTCAACTACGATGTTCCTGTCGCCGGTGGAACCCGTCGCCTGCTCAACAACGTCTACGGATACGTCAAGCCTGGCCAGCTCACAGCTTTGATGGGTGCTTCCGGAGCCGGCAAGACCACTCTCCTCGATGTGCTCGCATCTCGCAAGAACATTGGTGTCATCCACGGTGACGTTCTTGTCGACGGTATCAAGCCCGGAAAGCAGTTCCAGCGCAGTACCTCGTACGCCGAGCAGCTCGATCTCCACGACCCGACCCAGACTGTCCGCGAGGCCCTCCGTTTCTCTGCCCTTCTTCGCCAGCCTTATGAGACCCCCATCCCCGAGCGCTACGAATACGTGGAGGAGATTATTGCCCTGTTGGAAATGGAGCATATTGCCGACTGCATCATTGGCTCCCCCGAGTTCGGCCTGACGGTCGAGCAGCGCAAGCGTGTCACCATCGGTGTCGAGTTGGCCGCCAAGCCCGAGCTCCTCCTTTTCCTCGACGAACCCACCTCCGGTCTCGATAGTCAGAGTGCCTTCAACATTGTCCGTTTCCTCAAGAAGCTGGCCGCTGCCGGACAGGCCATTCTCTGCACCATTCACCAGCCCAACGCCGCCCTTTTCGAGAACTTTGACCGTCTCCTGCTCCTCCAGAGAGGCGGCCGCACCGTGTACTTTGGAGATATCGGCCAGGACGCCGTCGTTCTGCGAGACTATCTCAAGCGCCACGGCGCCATCGCCAAGCCTACCGACAATGTCGCCGAGTACATGCTCGAAGCCATCGGAGCTGGATCCGCTCCCCGCGTAGGAAACAAGGACTGGGCCGACATCTGGGACGACAGCGCCGAACTCGCCAACGTCAAGGACACCATCGGCCAGCTCAAGGAGCAGCGCATGGCCGCCGGCCGGACCGTCAACCACGACCTGGAGAAGGAGTACGCCAGCCCGCAGCTGCACCAACTCAAGGTCGTCGTGAACCGCATGAACATTAGCTTCTGGCGCAGCCCCAACTACCTCTTTACCCGCCTCTTCAACCACGTCGTCGTCGCCCTCATCACCGGTCTCACCTACCTCCAACTCGACGGGAGCCGCAGCTCGCTCCAGTACAAGGTCTTCGTCATGTTCCAGGTCACCGTTCTGCCGGCTCTCATCATCAGCCAGGTCGAGGTCATGTTCCACATCAAGCGTGCCCTCTTCTTCCGCGAGAGCTCCTCGAAGATGTACAACCCCCTCACCTTCGCCGCCGCAATCACCATCGCCGAGCTGCCCTACTCCATCATGTGCTCCGTCGCCTTCTTCCTCCCGCTCTACTACATGCCGGGCTTCCAGTTCGAATCTTCCCGCGCGGGCTACCAGTTCTTCATGATTCTCATCACCGAGCTCTTCTCCGTCTCCCTCGGCCAGGCCCTGGCGTCCCTGACGCCCAGCCCCTTCATCTCCTCGCAGTTCGACCCCTTCATCATGATCACCTTCGCCCTCTTCTGCGGTGTCACCATCCCCGCCCCGCAGATGCCCGGCTTCTGGCGCGCGTGGCTCTACCAGCTAGACCCCTTTACGCGTCTCATTGGCGGCATGGTCGTCACCGCGCTGCACGACCTCAAGGTCGCCTGCTCCTCGGTTGAGTTCAACCCCTTCACGGCTCCGCCCGGCCAGACGTGCGGCGAGTACATGCAGCCCTTCTTCGACAATGGCGGCCCGGGATACCTGGCCAACAACGATACGTCGAGCTGCGAGTACTGCGCGTACAAGGTCGGCGACGAGTTCTACACGCCTTTGGGCCTCAACTTTGATAACCGCTGGAGGGACCTCGGTATCTTTTTGGCCTTTGTTGGCAGCAACTTGATTATCCTCTTCACGGCGGTAAGCATTGGCCCTCTTCATCACTGAGTCATATCTCTCGAAAAAGTTACTAACGTTTAACAATAGAGCAAGTTCCTCAACTTCAACCGCAGATAATCGTTCCATCCCCGCCCGCTTTTGCAGCGCGCTTCGCATCCTGTTTCCCACTTTCCTACTGTCAGTTGATTTAACAGCATCAGCATCGTCGTCCCCCGACAGGTTCGTACCTGGCCGCATTTCAAAGGCCAAGAACTAGTTTTTCTAAAACGGAGTCTTTTGGTTTGGGGATAGCAACACCAAAATTTTCGGGAGGGTTTTGCGAATTCATGTGAGAAGATAGAGGAAGCCTTCATTGCGCACTGTACACACATCACTCATTGAGCCATGAGATAAGATGGTTTTTTGTCAAGAGCTGCGAGATGTACACACACACCCACACCATAGCATAGAGCTTTTTACGTAATTTAATAGACACGGCCAAGAGACTGTACGTACAAATCGAGAATGGGAGATTTTATGAGAGTTGATGTGTTAAAAGTTCAAGATTTTGTGAAGATTTGACAAGAGTTTTTCATGAAATTTGAATTGTGAACACTGGCTGTTTCTGATGAAGCCACTGCATTGCAATCATGAGGAAATGGCCATTTTACCCCAAAAGCCATGTTCGACCCTCTGAGATTGATGCCTAAAGAGGAGGTAAACGAAAACATCTACGATGCCCGTTGGAGTTCCTCTTCGCTCGACAGTATACTGAATTATTCTCATGGCCAAAACGTTAATGGCTCGAGAAGCTATTCCGTCCCCCCGAATCCACGACTCTGGCAGCCCACACACTGACGTACCTCGATTCGTTCCTCGAAACTTGACACCCGCCCCCCCCCCCCCCCCCGCCCTTTCCCCTCCCCGCACTCCCGTCAGGAACCCCGCCGCCGGCAGCAGCATCAGACCCCACTATCGGTCGACAGTCCTCCGCCAGCACCCCACCGCCGCACGGCGTCCTGTCACCCCCTCCTCCGGCGAACGACTTTATTCAAAACCCCATCCGTACCGAACTCACTTTGAGCTCTGGTATTCACACAACCGTCTCAAATGTACTCATTATAGGACTCCCCAACAATTACTTACTCTCTCGTCCTTGATCCGTAGTTGCCTCTCTGTCCCAAATAACATCTCCTCACAAAACCTACGTTACGCTTCAACCCACCACCCAAAAATGGCAGACCAAACCCCCCGCGCAGACCTCGCAAAGCGCCAAATCCCCTTCATGACCCTCGCAACAGGCGACACCACCACTCTCCCAGGCGGTCCCGCCCGCACCGCCTCCGCATCCGACACCCCCGAATCCCGCTTCGGCCTCCCGGGCACAGCAGTCCTAACAGGCGGCACCGGCGCCATCGCCCACGCCGTCGCGCGCGCGATGCTCCAGCACGGGTTGACGGGCCTCATGCTCCTCGACCTAGACGTCTCGTCCCCCGCCGCGGAGACCCAAATCGCGTCTTTGAGGACCGAGTTCCCATCGACAACGATCCTTGCTCGGAGTGTAGATGTCACGGACGAAGGGGCCGTTCAGGAAGCTATGGAGTGCGCGGCGAGCGAGTTGGACGGGATTGATTATCTAGTGTGTTTTGCGGGGGTTGTGGGCTGCCACCACGCGCTCGAAATGTCGGCCTCACAGTTCCGGAGGATTCTGGATATCAACACCACGGGCGCCTTCATCTGCGCACAAGCCGCGGCGCGCATCTTTGTGAAGCAGAACCGTGGCGGGCGGATCGTGTTTACGGCGAGTGTTTCTGCGCACAGGGTGAATTTCCCGCAGCCGCAGGCCGGGTATAATACGAGTAAAGGCGCGCTGCTGCAGTTGAAGAGTAGTCTGGCGGCGGAGTGGGCGCGATACGGGATTACGGTGAATAGCGTGAGTCCGGGGTACATGGATACGGTGCTGAATGAGGGGGAGGGGTTGAGGGAGGCGAGGGAGGTTTGGGCGGGGAGGAACCCGATGGGGAGGATGGGGTTGCCGGAGGAGGTGGGGGGCGTGGTTGTGATGTTGTGTAGTCGGGCGGGGAGCTATTTTAACGGGAGTGATTTGGTTGTTGATGGGGGCGGTGTTGTGTTTTAAGGAGAGGAGTATGATTGATCTTTGTTCAGAGGGCTGGGGAGGATGTGGAAAGATGGAAGGGTTAGATGATAGACTAGAGGACGATCCGCCGCGGGTCTAGACGCATTGAATCATGTTTTTGAAAGGTTTATATTCAGCTGCTCAGAGAGATGGGTGAAAGAGTGTCAGAGTTTGCTCTCGAGAAGTGATTGTTACGGGATCGTGAGCCTCGCTGAGTGCTCGAAACTGTTTGACAGCCCTTCTCAATCATGTTACGGTCTGTATGATCTACGAGCCGGACCCCAAAAGAGTTTCCTCTCTCCGTTATCCTGAGTCTCAACCAGGCCCATATGCCTCATTCTATCGAGTCGTCCTTGAATAAGGAGCTCCTCCCTCCCGCCTGCCCAAGTAGAATAGTTAAGAATGTGCCCGTATAGTCTAGACGACAAGTCACGAGAAGCTAAGAGAAGGATGCCACGAGAGAAATGAGGGACATTTGCTTTATTCTGAAGCATCTGAAGGTCATGGCTTTCTGGGATGAGTGTTATCAGGTTTTAATCCAAGTTATACTTTGCTTACATCGTCTCCCTCGAACACGAACCACGGACGTGGAACAGGGAAACGTAGATCAAATTTGGGACACATTGTTGTACTCGAGAATCACGACTTGAGGCCGCACTTGACTTGAATTTGTCGACAAGGACTCCTACCTTAGTTTACTAGGACCTGACAGCTCGTGATCTTGAGCAATTGAGCCACTGCTATGATTTGTTGAACCCGTAGTGAGTAGAAAAGCTACTCATACTACTAGAAAACCACAAGATGGACAGTCTTGTGAAGTTTGGGCCCCGCCTGTCATTCTCGGGGTCCTTGAGTCTTCCATAGTCGTAGCTAGGTCTTCTACATACTGGGTAAGGCCACTAGCTGTGAAGCAATACTATCTCCAGATACTGTGGGTGCGGGAAGAGTGATTGAGGTGTTGCTTTAGTCCTCCTGAGTTGAGGGGTGCCTGAGGAGTGGCTGAGAAGTAGGCGACGCAAGGACAAGTTGGCTGGTGTGAGGCCTCTGGTTTCCAAGCTGTACAGGCTGAGAAAGACATCTACCATATATAAACTAGGCATATTATAATCTAGAACAAAGCCCTTATATGACTGTTGATCACAGGCTTGCATTGAGGTTGAGCAGCTCACCTGTCAAGGATGATGACTAACAATTCACGCTCACCTTGACGATGCGGGCATCCTTGCCTTATTCTTCAAAGGCCGCTTGCTCGGGCTTAGTGTTAAAGTCTGGTTGTCTCTGAATTTAAAGCTTTGTAAGAGAAGACAAAACGGCCCGTGACTTTCAGATATCTTACTGCTAGCAATGTGAATTTGCTCTTGACCTGAATTCCAACCTGTTGGGCCTGACGAAGATGAAAACAGAAATTCGGACGCAATCGGCGATAAGAAGATAAGACGTCACCACCCACCCCACCACCCACCCTCCATGGGACCGCCGTCACGTGCACGCTAGCGTTATCGATAATCACAGGGCAGGAATTCCTGACCTTGACGTCGACTACCCGAATTTTCTCAATCGCTTAAGCTTCTCAACGCGTCAACACCAGGATCCACTGCACAACGCGCGCGCCCACGATGAGCTCATACAGACCATACCCGCCTCAAGGCAATGCTCGGGACGACCGCAATCGCGGCCGTTACGATTCCCGTTCTTCACATCATCAGCCTCCGCCACCTGGAGCAGGCGACAATTGGCGTAACCCGTGGCCCGAAGACCGTGAGTACCGCCGCCTCTCAAGATCGCGATCCCCACCGCGGCATATCGACCGTTGCGTTATGATTCTGACAGAGGAGACAATGATATAGGACGAAGATCAGGAGGCTATGATGGCTACAGACCCGATAGCCGACCGCCTCAGGGCGACTTCACCTTCCGGATGGATAAGCCCTCTGGCGTTGGCAGCACCTCCAGGGGAGATTCATACCGCCCCGGCGCATATCAGGGCAACGATAGAAGAAGGGCCCCACGCGCTCGCGGTGGATTGTTTCGTGGTCGCGGTAGGGGCGGGTACCAGAAGATTATCCCGGCCGAGCGCGAGCTCTTGCGCACCCGTCGCGATGGAGTCGACGAGAACCTAGTCAACGAGGAGGGCGCCGGTGTAGTATATCGCGACATCAATGACCTTTCGGATGATGAAGAGGCCGACATGGAGATCTCGGACAACTCTGACGATGACGACGAGGAATCTGGTGAGCCTTCTAGCAAGCGCGCCCGCCACGCCGGCAATGACGAATCGGGCAACAGCGTCCCGAAATGGTCGAATCCAGACCCGTACACCGCCCTGCCCCCGCCTGATGCAGCGGAACGCAAGAAGAAGGACATGGTCAAGATGATCCGGAAGGCACGAGTGGACGAGACTGCCGCAGACAAGCTCAAGGCCAGTACAGAGGCAGAGGAATTCATTTCCTTCGACTTTGACGAGCCCAACGACGAGGAAGAGATCATACTTCCTCCTTCTGAGCCGCCCTCGCCTTCCCCCCCGCCTCCTCCTGGTCCCGCACCCCCTCTGCAATCTTCATCCATCGCCTCTAGGACCGCACCCAGCGGTCCTCGTTCAGACCGTCCACCTGCTATAAACGGATCAGCAGTCTCGACAGCGCCGTCTACGCCTGGAAAGCCTTCAACTTTGCCGCCCAGGCCCGCCGCATCCAACGACGCTCTCGGCTCTCGGAAGCGCACTGTCGACGATCACATCAAGCCTCCTACATACGCTCCGCTCAAAAAAGTCAATAAAATGCCTGTGGGTGGTGCGATCTTGCCTGAGTGGAAGGTGACCAAGGGCGAGGATCCCACGCCTTGGATCGACGCGGACCATTCCAAGACCTCGGATATCAGTGTTTGGTGAGTTGCGGAAGCGTTCAATCAGATGTGGTTTCTAATCTGAATAGGCTTCACAAGGAAATTGTCGACTTCTACGAGGTCGTACGACCTCGCGACTTTGAGCACGAGATGCGAACACGGCTTGTCGATCGAATTCGCTCAGCGCTCAAGACTAATCGCTTCTACAAGGAATGCGATGTTCGCCCCTTTGGCTCATACATGTCTGGCCTCTACTTACCCACAGCTGATATGGACTTGGTCATTTGTGAAAGAAGCTGGCTGAATGGTGCCCATTCCAACTTCTTCGGTATCAAGGCTCTCAGGAGCTTTGGCAAGTTCCTCTCGTCCAAGCGCCTGACCCATTACAACAGCATGGAGTTCATCGCAGGCGCCAAAGTCCCTCTCGTCAAGTACATTGATACCGAAACCGGCCTTCGGGTTGACATCTCCTTCGATCGCCTCGATGGTCCCCAGGCCGTCAAGACATTCATCGAGTGGAAGAAGCAGTATCCAGCCATGCCGATCATCGTCACAATGGTCAAGCACTTTTTGGCGATGCGCGGTTTGAACGAGCCTGTCAACGGCGGCATCGGTAGCTTCACTGTGACCTGCATGGTCGTCAGCATGCTGCAGCTCATGCCCTCTGTGCAAAGCCGCAATCTTACTCCCGATCACCACCTTGGACAAATGCTCATGGAGTTCTTCGATCTCTACGGAAACAGATTTGACTACGTCAACACGGCAATCCGGTTGAATCCTCCGGGTTATGTTCACAAGGTAAGTTCATACCAGCGACCTCAATTACTATGTTGACTACGTCCACTAACGCTCCCACCGTAGCACCGAGTTCAGGACGTTGTCTACAAGAATTTCGATCGCATTTCCGTTATTGATCCCAATAACCCGGCCAATGACATTTCTGGAGGCTCAAGCAACGCTGGCCGGATCCTGGAAGAGTTCAGCATTGCACATCAGATGCTGAAGAAGAGAATGGTGCAGCTTGCCCAGGCCGGTTCACGCGCCGATGGACCTGCCAGCATACTCGAGACCATCTACGCTGGTAACTACTCTTCATTTCGTCACCAACGTGCGCACCTGCGCCAACTGTACGACTCAAGATGAGATCTCAGTTCTGGTTGCGAGTCGCAGTTCGAAAGCATCCGTTTCAATTGTTGATACAGGAAGGATGGGGTTTTCATGATATGTCGGAAGGGAAGCGATTCATCAGGTTACAGGAATCTTTTGCGCTGCATTGTTTAGACGGGCGGGGACCAAGCACTCCAGTTTGGAGACGGAGTCACGGAGAGGCGGCTGTTTCTTTCTCACGATACCCACCCCCATATCCTGGTTGGCTTGACTTCTTGGGTCAAGTCTATTTTTTTTTCGAAGTGTTCCCCTTTCTCTATCTTTTTTTCTTTCTCTCTACTGTTTCGTCTCTCTTCGAAGCAAAGTTGTATGATAATGGCAGCTGGTTGGCTGCGACGGGGGGTGTCGACGAGGATTGACTGTCACAGGCCCGGTCCTTTTCTACGCAAACACGTCCCGGTGGCGTGTCTCACCCCTTTCCCTGCTGGCCAGCTACCCAACGAAGCATTTGGGCCCAGCCCTAGTGGGCTCAACAATGAACAAGGACTTTTCTACTACTTCTACTTGGCAGTGCTACCGTTCCTTCCGGGAACTGGGAAGCCTCTGCTCACTTGGCACTACCACGCTGGGCCTGCGTGGCCCGGCGACTTGCTAACGAATTCACAGATGATAGGACCTCCTGGCAAGCTTCCTCGCGGACGCCTGGACAGGGGGGGGGGGGATGTGAGCGATGAGGCAGATCCTCTTATGAGGATCTGGCACGAGGATTCGCAAGCAGACAAACAACAAACAACTCTGGCTGACGCTCTTCGGAGTTTGTCAGCCTCTTTTCTCACTGCATTTTCTGTGCCTTTGCGCATGGGTGTGGAGAGGAAGAAGAAACATCAGGGGCCAAACGTGTCGCGCAGCCTCTGATGCCACCGACATGCCTATGCTGTAGCCCAATGGAGGCGGGAGGTCCTGGAGAGACTTCCTCAGCCGACGAAGGGTTTCACGTTGCTTGAGGGTCGTTGCGCTAGCATCCTCGTAATCGAAATCGATGCCTTCTGGGTTTTCCAGAGCATTTAGTAATTGAAGCGTATATGATATAGAAAGACTATGAGTTGCGTTTGGCGTCTTGCTGAATCTAGGGTCACCTCATTAATGTCACCGCATGTCGTCTAGTTTAACGTTATGACCTTGCTATTTTAGGGGGCGCAAGATTTCGCGGCCAGTGGAAGGACTGGCGAGAATGTGAAGA